ACGGGCAGGCCCAAACGACGTTACCGTTGGGCCTGGCGGCGCTCTTGAGGCTGCCGCCCGCTGGTCTGATCTGAATCGTCACTTTTTGACGATTCAGGTCACGGCTCGGCCTCGCAGCATAGAGGCCGGCCTTTCCACACCGGTACTTAGGTACCGGAGGCCCCCTGTTCGGCATTCAGGGAGCAACAACAGTTCGGGAAAACGCTGCGCTATTCTGTTTAGAGCGCAGCGCTACTGCAGTAGCGCGARGTTAGCGCTAGACTGCAGTTCGGGATAGAGAGCAGCGAGGGACTTACCTGGTACTTACCTGTGGCGCCATAGCTTCCGCGGACTTCGACTGCAGAAGGCTCCAAGGCACCACCTTGCACCTTGCACCTTGCACCTTGCAGGTAGGGTTTCGGACCAGGACAGGGTATCGAGGACACTCCTCCTCCCTACCTCGCCATCTCTCCCTCCTCCTCTGTTATCTCCTCCTCTTCTTCTTCTTCTTCTTCTTCTTCTTCTTCAGACTTCTTCTTCTTCTTCTTCAGACTGGAGACTTGATACAAGTTGGACAGAGATCAGTGTTGGACTTCGGTGGTAAGAGGCTGTGATACTTATCGGATTCGAGACTTGGAGATTGTTGGGATTGATACTCAGCGGCATCACAAATTGGACACCGGTTACATTAGGACTCTGTACCTCCGACATTGGTGACTTATTGTCCACGACATTTTGATCTTGTTCGATGCCATTTTGGACTACCATATCGGTGACCTACTGGATTCTATCTCGGTGACATCTGGCGCTGCCTACATCTCCCACCTCCTTCGTCTCTCCTCCCACCTTTCATCTGTGTATGGTTGTACGGGGCCTGAGCATCGTCTATGATTGGCTCAGACCCCAACGCGATTGTTTGTGTGTTGAGTGATATCTGCGTGAGTTCAGTCTATGTGAGTCAGTCCATTTATCAGACTTCCGCTGCATACATGCTCACCCTATATTGGTTGATCTTTGGTTCTGCTCATACTTGTTGAAGTATTCACTAGTATGCAACAGTGTATGAACTGGATATGCATGCTAGACGTTTAAGATGTTTGTCTCACCATAGGACGATTCATCCTGCGAACAACTAACTTTCACCCATCCTATTGAAGGACAGGTCTTGTGCACGCACGTGTAGGTTCGTCCAAGCATGATCGCTGCCTACCCGCGTGTCCGCGAAACCTGGACTCGATCGATTTCCCGAAGGTCTAAATGTCTACCCACCCCATAATATGAATTTCGAAATCCTTTTTCGTGTATCTGACCGCGAGTGTTTGAGAAATCGGGAACTTCGGGAATATTGGGAACATTCCTCCTTGTCAGCACAACCAAGGGCGGAACCCCCGAACTTCCCTTACTTAACCGGAATCAAACGTATTTGCGACTGGGACCTCGACCAGGCTTTGGGACGTGTCCCCCATCTCCCCAGCTACTCTAGCCCATACATGTGTCACGTCGTCTCGGAACCCGGGATCATTATCTTAGGGACTGAGTTCCCTCCCTACCACCACATCCTGCCCAATCACTCCTTAGCCATCGTCCCCTGGCTCGCAGTCGGCCCCTAGTGGCCCCAACCCCCGTGCTCGGAGTGCCTGCAGGATCACGAGTACCCAGCCTCCGGCTTCATCCGGCGAACTTGCTCGGAGGAGGAACGACAGGCACACAACCTTCAGCTGAGACCGGCCGCGTCCGACTCCGAGGCCTGCGACGTTCGGCGCCGGCAGGTGATCAACCAGCGTGATAGCCATAGCGTCCCGATGGTCCACCAGATACGAGTCCGACCCAGAGGACGGAACCAATGGAGGCGGTAGCCCCGCTTGCCTAAGCATAAAGCAAGACTCCGATCCGCACCTATCCTCCTGCATTCGCATCCCTGAAACTTGTCACAGGAGATCTCAGTTCCGACCTGGGACTCCACCCCCACTTTCCAAAAATCCTTGGCACACCCCTTTTCGCACTTCCAGGCCCACTCACATTCCGAACAGGAAGTCGCGCTGGGCGTGAGGTTAGGGCGTCACACAGGTGCTTATCGCGGGCACACGTTAAACAAGGCAGAGGGATCACATTATAAAAGAACAACAAAAGGAGAGCAGGAATACTATCGCCCTGAGACGTCCTTCCAACTTTTCCTTACCTCCAGGACCCATGGTTTGATGCCCCGCACACTCAAAACTGTTGTATATGGGAGACATGTCGTTGTACCCAGACATTACAACCTCCTTTGGAGACAGAGGCATCCAATGGGGACTTCCCCCCCCCCCTCCCCCCTGAATCTAGTACAGTTCATGCCTCATTCCCCCTCTTTTACCGCCCCTCCATCCCTTTTATTGCCCTCCCTAGTCCCTTGCGTCACTTTGTGGTTCCTACACCACCTGAGTGTGTACCTTAGACCTGCATTTCCTGTAACCCATACACTTCCCCCCCATTACGCACCACTAACCAATTGCTGGTACCCTCACTTCACCCGGCCTTGCTGATAGCCACCAGTCAAGTAGATATGTAACTGCCTGGTGAACAGCAGGCAGAAATGGGCAAAAGGACAAAAAACGGGGAGAAATGGGCCCGGACGCAGTCTCCCCATCCAGCACAAAAGCCTGGAGACCTCGTTGCCACACACATTCGGGCAGAAGCTTCTGGCATGAGCGCTGTTGTACGAGTTGCTGAGCGCAGCGCACGAGAGGAGGAAGAAGCGGCTGCTGTGGCTGCAAGGAAGAAGACGCCATAGCTGGTGGAGTGGAAGCATGGTGGTGGAGTGTGGATGTCGGGGAAGGAGGAGTGCAGTGGAATTGGCGGTCTTACCTGGTGTTGGCGAGGGAGTCCTGTATGACAAGAGTCTTCAAGCAGCATTAGGCGAGGGACACGGCTGGTAGATAGGCTAGCATGGCAGAGGAAGTAGGAAGTAGATAGGGTGGTCACACCGCATGTAGGACTACTACATCGTTGTTGTTTTGATGGTCGGAGGCGGACAACGGGCTTTCTGTATCAAGAGACTTCGGCATATTGTTTGTTCCTATTTGGTGTGCAATTCACTTTGGGTTTCTGCTTTCAAGTCGGCTCAAGCATCTGTGGTCTTTTGCGAGTCTTCGTGTTCTGGCTTATTGGTGTTCCCATTGCATGCTTCCTTGCAACTTTCTTTCCGTGGGGGCTACTGGCTTATTACAGGGTGTGAACCTGTTGTCTGTAGGGTCTCCACCTTGGTGTGGGCGAGTTATAATCTGCTTTGATTTTCGTCGTAGGTAACCTTGTGTAAGGAGCCACCATGTACGAACGCACAAATTTCAAGGATCAGAGAACTCATTGAGGACCACTTGTGAGTAGACCAAACTGAAAGAAGAATTTACAAGGCAGAGCACACCTAAGCATGATCACACTGAACACTGCTCTCTTGATAGTGAAGACCTGTTCGGGCCTCCGTGCAATCAATACGACAACAGACTAGTACCCCTAAGCTATGATGTGACTGCCTAAGCTACTTCCCTAGTCTGGTTGCTCTCTCTTGTTCTGTGTCCTCTTTCCTCTTGCCAGATTCCACTGAAGAGTCTGATCACAGGTAAGTATGCACCTGTCCCCTCAGCCCTCCTCTTCTCTCAAGGACCTCCCTTTCTCCCCGCCACGTACTCCTGTACTGCGCTGCCTTCCCCATAGATATGGTTGTGCAAGGGCATGTAACGGCAGTTGGCACTGCTCCTCCAGGGCGCTGGTTCCGACTGCCCTCGTGGAAGCACTCCTCCTGCGCTGCTGCATGACACTTCTCGGTGCCCAAATGTGAGCCATGCCTCCTCTGCCTTCTTCTGTCCCACCTGAAGGCTGAGGTCCGGGCTTCCTGGTAGACACGTCCCAACGTACCTGGGTCCCGGCTGAGGCATCCCACAAAGGTCCTACCGGGTAGTTACCTGGGTGGAGCCCTTGTTTCTCAAGCCCAGCTGCAGTCTTAACATAGGGCCTCGGCTCCCTCAGGAACTCTCGAGGGCAATGGCTGGGTCCAACCTCAGGTTATCAGGTGTGCGGCAGATGCTGTTGCTCAACCACAACCTGGGTTGACTTACATTACCAATGGTTTATGGACTCTTCAGGCTGTAGAGGGTTCGGCCTCCTGATGAGTCGGCTAAACGCGGGTGAAAGTCTATCACACCCCCCTGTTTCTTGTCCTCTTCTTCCTTCTGCGTACGGTTTACTGGACAGTGGCAGATCTCTGGTACTGTTAACTACATCTATATGACCAGCCTAGTATGTAAGAGGTGCAGTTAAGGGAGATCTAAAAAAGTGAAACCGTGAAAAAGCCAAAAGAAAGAGGAGGAGGTAAACAACGACAAAAATAACAAACTGCAAGGGAAAAGGCAAATGATGAGCGGTATTAGTGTGCTTCATGCCGTCTGCTCCTGTCTTTGTTTGTTTTGGAAAGTGCACTCTTTTAGGTGATAGATATGTGACAATAAACACACATACACGTGTGTGTGTGTGTGTGTGTGTGTGTGTGTGTGTGTG